CATCAATAGATCTATTTACAAAGAAATTATGGTATGGAGGTCGTAAGATGGCGAACAAGTAACACTGATGGCAATGAGGAGCTTCTAGTCGGTTTTAAAGTTTTAAAATCACTCTACATGAAGTATTAGGATCCGTTCGTACCCTGCGGTCAGTCTGGGCGAAGATAAATTCTCACAAGCAGTGCTTGCCTACCTGCCGGTCTGTAAACATCCAGCGAAAATACTCCTGTCTGTAAACATTTGGTTCCCTTTGTACTTAAATTTTGGTCTGGAAGGAGCCAACTGCATGACTTTAAACCCACGTGTGTTTAATCTCTAGACGAGCTTCCTGAGTGCCACTGAAGACACAGCTAAAGACCGAAGAGAAGAACGATTTTGCACTCTTGACTGCGAGGCAGATGAAATGTGTGACGGTCATATATGCGTATCCAAAGGAAGCACAGATATGGATGTCAGAGAAAACTGGATTTTGAGCCTGTAGAAAAAGGTCGCACCAGACTTGTAAGAAAAAAGGTGAACATAAACTCATCAGGGAGATAAACGTCATGGTGCAGGGGAGGAAAGCTGAGTATGTCAAATCAAATGAGCGATGATGGTGATGACGACGACAACTGATGGACAACAGCGGCAGGGAAAGAAATAAAACAAGATGTGATGAACAGGAAGAAACTGAAGTGACGGAATGATGAAAAACCGATTAAAGAGGGAAATGGACGATGAAAGAGGGTGTGGGTGGAGGATAGGACAAAGGAAAGCAGGAGGGATTCGTCATTAAAGGCAGAAGACTACAGCGGTTGGCGTCATCTTCAGCACTGCAGGAATTAGCTGTACGGTCTAGAGGTCGATGAGCTGGTCCACCAGCAGCAGGGAACGGGCCAGGTTGGGCAGGCTGGACTCAGAGCTGCCACTGTTACTGCGAGAGTGACCTCCTAAAAGAGGCCAGATGGACAGGAAGGTTAGGGGTGGAAGAAAGGGAGGACAGCCAAATTAAGACAAGGAGAGGCCAAGGAAGGGGACAGCAGAAGAGAGAGGGAGAGAGAGACACAACGGTAAGTGAACGTTGACAAAAAGTCAAGAGAGACTGTTACGAGAGAACATGCATTAGGGTTGGGATTCAAAAATTTGGGGATTTCTTTCAAATAAACTATGAAGGAATTATAGATGATATTTGATTCAGTTAAAGACCTCGCAAAACATAAAATTTGAGATTAATTCCATCAATTTTTAGGAGAACCTCAGTGTTTCCTGCACCACTACTGAGTGTAAGTCAGGGCAAAAAACAAGCTTGTCTCAGTGTCGTTATTGTTAATGAAAACTCGTAAAAACTGAATTGAAATAAACCTGAAATTAAATAAACATAAGATAAAAAATTACTTTAAAAAAAATTAAACATGCTGCCTTGACAACCAAATTAAAAGAATTAGCTTAAATACTAAAATTAAAAAAAAAACTTAATGGCAAAATCACACAATAAAATTACTACAATTAAAATGAAAAAAAAAAACTGAATAAAAAGCTAATTCAAAGAGCTTTAAGGAGCTGATATTAATACAGTATATGAAACTAACATAACACTGGCTTGTCTGAATTAATACTGCAAAATAATAAAAAGAACACAAAAACACTTCCTTATGCCAGTCTGATTTGACAAAGAATGACTGTTATAAATTAATCGCAATCACAAGTAAAGTACTTTTATGTCAAACTCAAAATTAACTGTGAACTGTATTACTATGTAACTGTATTATGAGGCCTAAATCGGAAAAAAAAAAAAAAAAAATTCAAACTGGCAATGTAGAGATGAAGATATACATTCAACTTTTTTCAATAAACTGTATTAAATACATAAAAAATTTGTATATTTTTTCAGTATATACTTAGGACCAGTTGCTTACTTAAAAATACTTAAAATACTTAAATACTCGTTAATGGAATTAAATAAAAGTGGAAATAGAATTTCTATACGATTCCTATACCTAGTATGCAAAGTAGTGTTGTCAAAGGACCCGGTATTTCGGTACCAAGTCGGTACTAAAAAAATGAAAACGTTACGGTACCAGGTTTTCTTAAGTACCGGTGGTACCGAGTACCCGGTCAACCCGGTTCTTGATGCGCTAAACGAAATCTAGCCTCTTCCAGTGTTGCCAAGTTCGCGGTTTTCCCGCGGAATTGGGCTGCTTTAACACTGTTGCTGCGGGTTGTTTTTCATGTCCGCGGGTTGAAAAACGACCCCATTAACGTGATATTTAGCCCCTGGAATGCGAATTTTACCAGGGGAACCCCGCCAAAACATGCGTATTTTATCCTCGGGACGCGATTTTTAACGGGACCCCCTCGAAACGCGATTGGGCGGGTTTTGTTATGAAAACCTGGCAACCTCTTCGTAAAAGCTGTGTCGACCTCAGGAGGAGGAAACGCATCAAACTAACAAAACACCCCGATCAAGTTCAAGCAGGTAAGTTTCAATTTGAATATTTAGAGCTTCTGTAATGACTATTATTCCATATTTTAATTTGAATTTCGGATTGAAATAAACATCGCCGTTAGCGTATACGTAGTTAATCGTTAGCATAAGGGCGGCTAACGCTAATATAATGAGCATTAGAATGAATTTTGTTCATTTTGTTCAAAATAAAGGGGTCATATGATGCGATTTCAAGTTTTACTTTCTCTTTGGAGTGTTACAAGCTCTTGGTGCATAAAGAAGATCTGTAAAGTTGCAAAGACTAAAGTCTCAAATCCAAAGAGATATTCTTTATAAAAGTTAAGAGTCAACCACACCTA